CTGAATGCCACTTCCAACTCCACTTCCAACTGAACTGAACCCCAATACCGGGCTCATTGGGGGAGAGCCTAGACTGTTTGGCAGCAGGTGAAAATCGAGGGCACCTATCTCACAGAGGAGCCTTGCAGCGAGTACTGAAGGACCCTGAGACTCAGGAGCCGCATAGGGCGGGGCTGACGGAAGCCAAGGCTGTAGGCTCCACCCTGAAATCCTGTCCCAGTCTACGGCCATACCACCCTGAACGCGCCCGATCTCATCTGAAATCCTGTCCCACCTGTAACTGCGAAATGCGACAACGAAATAGATCACAAACGAAAGAAATGGAGGACAAAAAGCGACTGGATATAGAGTTCAAATCTACGCTTATAAGGTTTTTCAAGAATTTCCTAGAAAAGATCGATAAGAACTATGAGGATATGAAAAGAGATCAACTAGAATTAATAAGGAGTCAACAAGAAATGATAAGGGATCAACAAGAAATAAAGAATACATTGTCTGAAATAAAAAGTATTATACAGAATCCTAAAAACAGAATGGAAGATCACAAGAATCAAGTCAAAGAGTTGGAACATAAAGAGCCAGAAGACACTCCTCCACAGAAGCTAGAAGGCAAGAGAATCCAGAAAATTGAAGATAATGTAAGAAACCTCTGGGACAACTTCAAGCGAACCAACATTAGAATTATGTAGGTCCCAGAAGATGAGAGAGAGCAAGATATCGAAAACATACTGAAAGAAATAGTGACAGAAAACTTCTCCCACCTGGGGAAAGAATTAGATTTACAAGTCCAGGAAGCGCACAGAACTCCAAACAAAAGGAATCCAAAAAGGACCACACCAAGACAAATCATAATTAAAATTCCAAGAGCAAAAGACAAAGAGAGAATATTAAAAGCAGCAAGAGCAAAGAAGGTAGTTACCTATAAAGGAGCACCTATACGATTGTCAGCTGACTTCTTAACAGAAACCATGCAGGCCAGACGGGAATGGCAAGAAATATTCAAGGTGATGAATAGTAAGAACCTACAGCCAAAGATAATCTATCCAGCAAAGCTATCACTCAGAATCGAAGGTCAGATAAAGAGATTCACTAATAAAAAAAAGCTAAAGGAGTTCATCAACACCAAACCAGAATTATATGAATTGCTGAAGGGGGTTCTTTCGGAAGAGAAAGTAAATAAAAATAAAAATTATGAACAAATACGTAACTATCAACAAGTGAATCTAAAAACCAAGGAAATTAAAAAAAATCTGATGAACAATATTAACTGTTGAATATAATAGAATCAGAGGTATGGAAGGGGTGTGAACTGACGATTCTTGGGGAAAAGGGGAGAGGGGGATGTGGGAAGAGACTGAACATAAACTGTACCTATGGATGAGGACAATGGGGAGTGGGGAAAGGGCAGAGGGTGGGATGGGAACCTGGTGGAGGAGAGCAATGGTGGTGGTGGGGGGGGGGGGAAGGAAGGAACATTTGTAATAATATGAACAATAAAAACTTATTAAAAAATAAAAAAATAAAAAATAAAAAATAAATAAATTAACGAAACTCAGCCTCAATGAGGCCAGCTGTTGGTAACCTTACTAGATATTCTATATGAATATTTATATAATCAAGATAGAACCACAGAGAGATGCAAATCAAAACAACAATGTGGTACCTTCTCACACCTGTCAGAATGGCCAACATCAACAAATCAACAAAGGACAAGTGTTGACGAGGTTGCGGAGAAAAAGGAATCCTCGTGCACTGCTGGTGAGAATGCAGACTGGTGCAACCACTGTGGAGAACAGTGTGGAGTCTCCTCAAAAAACTGAAAATGGAACTCCCATTTGACCCAGTAATCCCACTCCTAGGAATATATCCCAAGAAACTAGAAACACCAATCAGAAAGGATATATGCACCCCTTTGTTCCTAGCAGCACAATCTACAATAGCTAGAATCTGGAAACAGCCTAGGTGCCCGTCAGCAGATGATTGGGTCCAAAAAACTATGGTACATCTACACAATGGAATACTATGCTGCCATAAAAAATAAGGGATTCTCATCATTTGCAGCAACCTGGATGGAATTAAAGAACATCATGCTGCTGAAAACCGGTTTGGCTCAGTGGTAAAGCGTCGGTCTAAGGACTGAAAGGTCCCAGGTTCGATTCCGGTCAAGGGCATGTACCTTGGTTGCAGGCACATCCCCAGTGGGGAGTGTGCAAGAGGCAACTGGTCAGTGTTTCTCTCTCATCGACATTTCTAACTCTCTGTCCCTCTCAAGTCCTCTCAAGTGTAAAATCAATAAAATATATTTTTAAAAAATCAATAAAATATATTTAAAACAAACAAACAAAAAAACATCATGCTGAGTGAAATAAGCCAGTCAATGAAAGAGAAACACCACATGACTTCACTCATTTATGGATAATAAAGAACATCATAAACTGATGAACCAAAAGATAGATATAAAGACAGTAAAGCAACAAGTAGACTGTCAAATTACAGCAGGTAGGGTAGGGAGATCTGGGGAAGATAATAGATCAACCGAAGGACTTGTATACATGCATATAAGTACAACCAATGGACACAAAACTCTAGGGAGGGAGGGTATGTATGGGAGGGGGGGGCAATGTTAAAATATGTACACAGATAATAATTTAATAAAAAAAATGTTAAAAAAAGATAGAACCACAAATTAAAACAAAAATTAGAATCTAAAACCCCTACAGACCTGATAAAATGAAATACGAAGCATAACAATTGTTTAAAATAGATCTCTCTCGCTGAAACCGGTTTGGCTCAATGGATAGGGCGTCGGCTTGGGGACTGAAGGACCCGGGTTCGATTCCGGTCAAGGGCATGTACCTTGATTGCCGGCATATCCCCAGTAGGGGGTGTGCAAGAGGCAGCTGATCGATGACTCTCTCTCATTGACGTTTCTAACTCTCTATCTCTCTCCCTTCCTCTCTGTACAAAATCAATAAAATATATTTTAAAAAATAAATAAATAAATAAAATAGATCTCTCTAACTAAAATTCTCACTAAAACAAAAAAAAGGCACCTGACAGACTGCTCTTGGAGTAGACGTAACAGTGTGTTCTTGGAGAGAAAAAGAGATCAAGTTGTTTTAACTATCTACTGGTATTGTACATTACTTCATTTCTACCTTCAAACATAATTATACCTTAGTTTTCTTCACTTGAACATGGTAGTCATCAAAGAAAACTCAAAGAAAACCTCTAGAAACTTAAATGATGTATTGGTTACGAAAATATTTGTTTAACACTATATGATTACCTATACCTTGGGTCTCTAGAGCAAGAACAAAATCCTTGCTCCACCCCTTACTTCTAGGAATTTGGACAAGTTATTTAGTTTCTCTACATCCCAGGCTTCATAAAATGGTAATAACTAGGTAATATATATATAGAGAGTGTGTAAATATAGAGCTATCTGTGTACCAGATATTGTTCTAAGCAGTTTATATATGCCTCTTGACTCATTTAATATTTACATCAACCCTCTAAGGCAGATAAGCCTATTATCACCTTTTTACAGATGAGGCACTGAGAAGTAATTTGCCCACAATCACATGGCTATTAAGTAGTAAAAGCAGGATTTTTAACTGAGTGTGGTTCTGGATTCCGTGCTCTTTATCATTAAAAATATATCTCACTGGGTTATTATGAGGATAAACCGATTTTACACGTATTAAATACTTAGCCCAATGTCTGGAAGGTAGGAAGCATTCAATAAATAATCGTTATTATATTTTTTTCCTGACTTTAGCTAAAAAGCTTTCTCATTTCTTTAAGGTTTACTAAGACAAGACTTGAGGCCAAACATTTCTGATGTTACCTAATTCATAACTATACTGGGTTCTCACTTGTGGCAGTCATTGAAACCAAGAGGTTTTTTTTGTTTGTTTTTTGTTTTACTAAAGGTTCTGCAGGTAAACCACAACAAAAGGAAAACACTGTCCTGGGGAAAGTGACACCTCTGTATCCACTTGTCAGGTGCTTCTCAAATACGCCCCAAATTGCATGTACTCCACAGACAGAGCTGGCGGGAGTTCACTTCATCTAATCCCGGCCCTGGAATCCCGACAGGAAAAAAAAAAAAAAAAAAAAGGGACTTCCATTTAAACTCGCTAAGCCCAACAGAGAGGTTCCTCCGTGGTGCTTGGTCTACATTTTTAATTAAATCACCGATCCTGCTGCTCTTTAAGTGCTCATCACTACACCACGCCACCCTTCTGAGACATGTTGGATCCCATGCTCTACCCGGCTTCCCATCTATCCCTTGATTTTTCCTTTTCTTTTTTCCCCCCTCCTTTTTTCTCCTCATTAGCTGGGCCTGGATAAGGAGATGGTGCTTTTTCCCAGGCGCCGCCTAATACAGCGCCATCGGATGCGGTCCAGCCTAACGAAATGTTCCGACCATCGCTCCGGGGTCGGTGCCCGTCAGAACCGACAACTCTCGGGCCGGCCTCTTGACACTTGCCGGTTCGGCGCAGAAAAGGTCCAACGAGCCCTTTTCTGGAAAGCACTGATTTTTACCCGGACGCGGGCCGGGCCGGGCCCTCCTTAGAGACCGGGACCGCCGAGCCGGACCTTCCCCTGCGCTCCCGGGAGAACGCCCGCCCGCCCGCAGCGAGCCGCCGGAGGGGAGACCCGCGGAGCGTTCCTCACAGGAGCCCTCTGAGGGCGAACAGGCTCCGCAGCTCAGGACCCTCCCCACTTCCGGGCCCGCAGCGCCCCCCCCCCGCCCCCGCCGCCCCCACCGCCACCCCTCAGACAGCCCGGCCGAGCGCGCAGGTTCGACCTCGGCGCCCCCGGCCCGCAGAGGCCTCCCTCGGTCCCGCCCACCCGCAAAAACAAAAACTCCACCGACAACTGTGACCAACCGCCCCTTCCCCCACAAACAGCCCCTTCCCCCACAAACCGCGGTTCTTGGTCCCACCCACACCCTCCCCCCACTCCCAACTCGGTCCAAGTCGGCTCCTCACCCAGAGACATGTCGATTTTGTCGAGGTTTTCATTGCCGCGGGGTTTCAGCGGCGGGGGCGGGATCGCCGTGGCTCCCACTAGCCGAGCACCGAGCCGGTTCATGGCCGGGGACGTCGCGCCGGGTCGGTCCGCAGACAAGGCCGGAGACGGAGGCCTGCCACCTCCCACTGACGCTCCCGGACCAGCTGCGCCGAGGGAGCGCGCACGCGTGCTGGCGGCGGCGTCCTCGCCCCCCTCCCACCCGCGGCTGCGCGCAGGGGGGCGGGGCTACAGAGACGGGCGGCCGCCCAGAGCGCCCGGAGTTGGTACTTCGCTCCCAGCGGCCCCTGTCGGTTAGGAGAAAGCATTGCACCCGCTGCTCTGGGCGTGTTTTGCAAGGGCGGTCATTTTCAGCAGTTTTGCCTTTCCTGCACAAACTGGGGAATGCAGCTGGACCCTGAGCACCTCAGAATCACGTGCCTTCTTCAATGAGATCATGTTCCTAGGTGTCCTTAGAGTCCCTCCTGCTGCGAAAGGCCCCAAAGCTTTGGCACACATGAACCCTTTTTACACACCCCACTGCAATGCAGCCTCGGAGGCAGGGCAGGCCCCTGTGAACGTAGTAGATTGCAGAATTCAGTCCCAGCTCCCTCCCCCCCTCCTTCCCTCTCCTCCCAGATCCACCACCTGCAACATGAGGAATCGCAACCTTTGGACGGAAAGCAAAGGCTGCATTGACAAATTTTGCGTCGCTAGCAATATAAGTAAATGCTAACGTTTCCCCTATCCGTACTGTACCATTTCTCAAACTGTACTCTGAAAACACTGAGCACGGTACTCGCTACCTAATAAGACTTCATCTTCCCTTGGGAGAGGGGTAAGTACCTCTGCTTATTTGGCTGCCTTTTTCTCTAATTCATTTGCGTTGGGAATGAATAGGAGGATTCGTTTTCTTTCTGATTATCCCTACAGGAAAATATTATTTGTTGAGTGTTTGCGTAATATTTTTTTTTCTATTTACAAAACATGTTAGTTATTGCCTCTCTTCTGACCTACTCCTCTTTCAAATGAACTGCACTTGTGTGGAAGCATTTGAATTATGTCATCCTCATAACAGCTCAAAACTACCGAAAGCATTTGCATCTAAGGAAAAAACAGGGGGCAGGTATTCTGTCCCTGGGGAAATCTCTACCACCTTCCTCCTTTTCACTTCCTGAAATTTCTTTTTGCATAGAAAGTGACCTAAACCACAGTAGCCTGTACTTAATTTGTCCCCACTCCAAGACAAAAATATGATAATAGAAAAAGAGTGTATCAAGTGAGGACACACCAATAAGTAGCATAAGAAACTTTAAAGGTAAAAGAAGGTTTAGACTCAAAAGGACCTAAGAACTACATTCTGAATGTTAAGAAGAAGAATGGATACACTCTTAGCACAATATGCTTGATTTTATTTCTTTTCCAACAGCTAAGGAATAGAAAACTGAGTATAGAGCTAAAAGTAAGAGGGAGACCTAGGTTTTATTGAGTTGTATTTTTTTTACTCACTTAGTCATGTAATCACTGTGTGAACTTGTAAGAGTGTTTGGGCCTCACATTCATCTTCAAAACAAGGAAGTAGTTATACTAAATATAGAGTGTCCCCAAAAATGTACACACACACACTGAATAATTATGAAGCAGTGTTTATTAAAATAGACTTCATTTTCAAAACTGAACTACCAGCTGTTAAAGTGTGTATACATTTTTTTGGGACACTCTGCATATGTTATACTTAATTATTACTAAGATTCCTTACAATTCTAAAATCCAAGCACAAGATATTTTTCTCCACACTATCCTTCTCTCACTAGAAATAACTTATACACTCTCTGCTTACTTGTGTTTACAGGGAGGAATCTTAGATTAAGTTCTTAGTTTTATGGAAGAAAATCAATGTACTTAGAGTTTGGGTGAATTTTTGTACTTCAGATATTTATAAAATAGATAATAAAACTCCCAAAATGTATATAAATGCTTCCCACCATCAGTATAGAAAAGTTTCCTTTTATTCTGGTCTTCTCCCCCAAACTGAGCTCCATCCTAAATCTCCTTATCTCTGAAAAGAACACACCCCAATATTTCATAAACAAACCTAGCTATTGTATTTCCGATGTTAAGATTTTCCCAAGGGTTTCAGAGTCTCAGAGTAATCACCCAGATTCCCAAGGGAAAACCAGAAGAAAAAAAAAAAACCAACATTCAAGGTCAGTCACAAAATAGCAACCTGAGACACATGCAGCAATAGTAAAGAGGGAGGCAAGCCAAGAAATCAGGACTGGGGCGAGTCCAAGAAGTTCACCAGCCAGCTTCAAGGGCTGGGCTGGAGTACAAGGTCAACTCCGCCGTTTTCTGGAATATGAGAGGCAGCTATTCATTTAATGATCTATTCATTGAGCACTAGGCATCGTAATAGGCCCTGGGGATAAAATGGTGAGCAAGGTGGCTGCAGACCCTATCTTCACACAGCTTGCAGAGCAAAGATATTCTCTGAGCACCTACTGTGAATGAGGTCTTGTGCTGGACACTAAACACGCATCCTTTGTGTAGAGCACAGCAGTTTGGCGCTTCGTGTAAATCAAAATAAACAGAAGTCAAGCAGCTGCCCTTGTCAGAGGTTCGAGTTTGTGCACTGCAGATGAGACAATATCTAGGATTGCCAGATAAAATTCAGGACCAGCTAAATTTAAATTTCAGGTAAACAATGGGCCATTATTTAATAGTATAAGTTTGTTCCAGATTTCAGATAAAGCATCATTTGTTTTTTACTATGTTGCATGCAATATTTAGGATAATTTATACGAAATGCTGAAATTCAAATTTGACTGGGAGTGGTCTATTTTTATTTGCTAAATCTGGGAACCTTAACATTATACTTTTTGATTAATATGTTCTGGATTTCTTCTCACTAGAAATCTACATATCTTCAAAGGTAAGCACAAGTCTTATGTATATAACCCTTAACTATTTTTATTAGTTTGATATGTCTTTTAGACCACCAGTTTTTCAGCTTTGTTGAGTTATAATCAATGGACAATAAAAATACTTAAAGTGTGCAGTTTATACAGATGTACAGTGTACATACCTGTGAAAACACTACCATAATCAGCATAATGAATATATCCATCATCCCCAAAAGTTTTCTAGTGCTTCTTTGTAATCCTTTGCCCAAATCACTACCTAAGCAACCACTGATATATTTTCTGTCGCTATAGATTAATATGAATTTTCTAGAATTTTCTCATTTGTCTGTTTGTTTGTTTGTTTGTTTTCCCCATTGATTTCTAGAGAAAATGGAAGAGAGGTAGGAGGGGGAGAGAGAGAGAAACAGAAACATAGATGTGAGAGACACATCAAGTGGTTGCCTCCTGCAACCAAGGTACATGCCCTTGACAGGGCATTAAACCTGCAACCATTCCATCGCGGGCTAACACTTCAACCACTGAGCAAAACAGACCAGGGCTCTTAAAAAAAAAAAAAAAAAAAAAAAAATATATATATATATATATATATATATATATATATATATATATATTTGTATTAATTTTAGAGAGGAAGGGAGGCGGGGGGGATAGAAACATCAATGATGAAAGAGAATCACTGATCACGCCCCTTACTGGGGATCGAGCCAGAAACCCATATGCCCTTGACTGGAATCGAACCCAGGACCCTTCAGTCCACAAGCTGATGCTCCATCCACTGAGCCAAACCAGCCAGGGCCTCTTTATATACATATATATGGAGAGAGAGAAAGGGAGGGAAGGAGGGAGGGAGGAAGGGAGGGAGGGAGGGAGGGAGGGAGGGAGGGAGGGAGGGAGGGAGGGAGAGACAGAGAGAGAGATTTGTTATTTTTCTTATTTATGCAATCATTGGTTGCTTCTTGTATGTGCCCTGACTGGAGATTGAACCTGCAACCTTGGCATATCAGAATGACACTCTAACAGTTAGAGCTCTACAGTGTAGAGCCTAAGACCATGGGAAAACTCAGATATTTACATTACGATTCATTAACAGTAGCAAAATTACAGTTATGAAGTAGCAACGAAAATAATTTTATGGTTGGGGGGTCACCACAACATGAGGAACTGCTCTAACCAAATGAGTCACCTGGCCAAGGTCTACACTCTTTTTTTATCTGGATTATTTCACTCAGCATAGTTGTTTCAATCTCTATGCTTGTATTCTTTTTCTTGCATTATTGCACTGACTGGGGATTCTAGTACCATGTTTAACAGTAATGATGAAAGTGGACATTATTTAACTGGGAGTCTTATATTTTTATTAGCTAAATTTTTATTTGTCTCATTCCCAATCCCAGAGCAAAAGCATTCAGTCTTTCACCAATAAGTATAATGTTAGATGTTTTTGTAGCTGTCCTTTAACAGATTGAAGAAGTTCATTTCTACTCCTGGTTTGCTGACAATTGTAATCATGAGTGAACGTTGAATTTTATCTAATGCTCTTTCTGCATCTATTGAGATGACCAAATGGGTTTTCTCTTTAAGTTTATAAATATGGTGGATTACATTGACTGATTTTTACAATTTGAATCACCTTGCATTTCTATGATAAAACTACTTAGTTGTGGTATGTTATCCTTTTTACTTATTGTTGGATTTGATTTGCTAGCATTTTGTCAAGGATATTATTTCTTTTTTATGAGTGATCTTGGTGTGTAATTTCTTCTTCTTGTAATGTCTTTGTCTGATTTTTGTATCAACTCCTTTGTGTTTCAGAAGAGGATTTTTAGTCCTAGCCAGTTTGGCTGAGTGGATAGAGCTTTGGCCTGAAACCTAAGGGTCCCCAGTTTGATTCTTGTCAAGGGCATGTACCTCGGCTGTAGGCTCCTCCCCAGCTGGGACCCTGGGTTTCTCTCAAAAAAAAAAAAAAAAAAAAAGAAAAGAAAAAAGAAAGAAAAAGAAGAAAAAGGAAAAATATCCTTGGTGAGGATTAAGAACTATATAAATAAATAATAAAAATATGATTTTTAGAATGTATATGTTATAATTTTTATTATACTGCTATAATAAGGGACTTGGGTATAATTGCATTATATGTAGGTATAATATGTATTATAGTTAGGTATAACTATTATTATTATACTTAACGCCCTTAAGCTACTTGTGTGTACATTACAGTTTTTCTTTTCTGCTCAATTCTTCTCATTCTACCCCTTTTATCATTGTTTTCAGATGCAGTAGTTTTCTTTGCCAGTTTGTTAGAACTTCCTCTTCCTCATTTGTGTTGCCCTTTCTTTGTTCTACGTTTTTCTGGCTGTTCTACTCTTCCTTTTAACCTAAAGATTCTTTCATTCACTTACTCAAATGGAGCTTGATTTCGTGGTATGAGTGAGACACTGCTGACAACACTCGACACAACAGAGAACGTGACAGACCGGGTGAAGGCATCGCTGGAGGCATTGCTGGTCTCCAAGTGCGTGACCGTCATCAGTTTTTCTCTGACCAGGGAAACTGCTCTGGGGAGACAGGGGAACTTGAAGGGGATTTTTTCCAGGAATCAGGGGTTGGACCTCTCATTCACTCCTTATTCGGCTTTATCTTCTCTGGGCAGGGTAGGAGTCCTTCTACCGAGGGTCCTGGAGCAATTCACTGAAGGACCAATTGTGGAATTTTCTGAAGCTAACCAAATTTGCATACATCACAATTTCCACCTATATGCATAAATCTGTTCCTTATAAAAATAAATTTTCGATTTGTGCTAAATAGGTTGGTACCTAGGAAGGTCTGAGAGCTAGGGTCAGGGGGCCATTAGGTATTTATCCTTCTCTCTCTGCCCCGCCGCCTCCCTGCTCTGGAATGAAGATGGACTAATTCTCATCTCTTCCTTCCTCTCAGTAGAGGGTCACTTCTCTTGGCCCGTTTTTATCCAGCCAGAGGCTGGGACAGAGACACACTGAACAGTCTTCAAGTGTGTCAAGGATTTGATCAGTCCAGAAATAAGGTTTTAAAAATTTCACATTGACTTTCTGGATTCTGGAGTTGTATGCATTGATTTTGACTGGCGATGAACTTTACTATATAGTTGAATAAATGAATCCAGTGCTAACTGCGTCAAGAGGGTAGAGATGTTGCTGTAAAGACAAAATAGAAACCAGTCAATTAAAACTTGGAAAAATTCTTCAAAAGCTTTTTAATTTTTTTTTTTGATTGAATTTAGAAAGAGAAAGGGAGAGAGGGAAGAAGGGAAGGGAGGAAGAGAGGGAAGAGAGGGAGGGAGAGAGAAAAGAGAAAGAAAGAGAGAGAGAGAGAAAGAGAGGGAGAGAAAGAGAAAAGAGAAAGAAAGAGAGAGAGAAAGAGAGGGAGAGAAAGAGAAAAGAGAAAGAAAGAGAGAGAGAGAGAAAGAGAGGGAGAGAGAGAAAGAGAGAGAGAGAGAGAGAGAGAGAGAGAGAGAGAGAGAGAGAGAGAGAGAGAGAGAGAGAGAGAGAGAGATCTATTGGCTGCCTCTTGTGTGCACCCCAACCGGAAATTGAACCCACAACCTAGGTATGTGCCCTGACTGGGAATTGAACCTTTTAGCTATATGGGACAATGCTCCACCTGGCCAGGCTAAAAATTTCTAAAGATGCTAAATTTGAAAAATTTTACTTAAAATATACTCAAAATTAATCATTATAAACTAAGAAATTTGAAACACTAACATTTTGGCTTTATTGATTAATATACAGTCATAAGAAAACAAACCATATTAAGGTGCTTGTTTTAAAAAATTTCTCACCAAAGGATAGGATATGTTTTTATTGCTTTTGAGAGAGAGGAAGAGAGAGAGAGAGAGAGAGAGAGAGAGAGAGCGCGCGCGAGCGGTTGCCTCCCATATATGCTCTGACTGGGGTTCAAACCCACAACCATTTAGTGTATTGGATGACACTCCAGCCAACTGAGCCACCTGGCCAAAGCAGATACGTACCTATTTCTAAAAAACATTTTCAAGTCTAGAGAGAAGTGGTAACAATAGTCCAGAGCTCATATATCCTTCACTAAGATTCACTTATTATTGGTTTTGCCACATTTGCTTTCTCTATATATAGCTAGATAGCTATAATTAATACTATTTGTTGTTGGATAACCTGAGTTGCAGACATCATGACTTTATAGAATATATCTCTAAGGATATCCATTTACATAACCACGCTAAAATGATGAAACTTAGGAAATTTAAGTGATGGAATTCTATTCTCTAGTGTATATAGTTCATATTAAAATTTTGCCAATTACCCTAATAAATAATTATCTTTTATAGCAATATTTTCTTCCAATATAGGATCCAATCCAGGTTCACATGTTGCATTTCTTTGTCCAGCCTCTTTTGTCTCATTTAATCTGAAAAAGTTTGTCTGCCTTTCTGTCTTTATGGAATTTACATTTTTGAATATTGAAGGCAGTTATTGCATAGATTATCCTTCAATTTGGCTTTGTCTTATTGCCACCCTGTGATTAGATTTTTCAGGATAAGTAATGTGGTGTCCTTGTCAGTATTTAACACCAGAAGGTGTCTTCTTGGTGGTCTTAATTTTAATCACTTGGTTAAGGTGATGTTCACCAGATTTCTCTATTGTAAAGGTACCCCTTTTTCCCATTTATAAGTAATCTGTAGAAATATAGTTGAGACTATGTAAATAGCAGATTTCAATAATGGCTTTAGCAACTATTGATAATTCTTGCCTGAATCAATTATTGCTATCGTGACTAAAAAATAATGCTTGTCTAACTCGATCATTCCTCTACTTTCATAACTGACATTAAAAAAAAAAAAGATTTCAAACAAAACAAAAAAGATTTCCCTTCCCTCATTTCTTTCTTCTTTTTTCTATATATTTATATATTTGCACACTTACTTATATATACATCTAAATTTCCATAGTGGTTCTCTCTCATCATTGATGTTTCTCTCTCCCTCCCTCTCCCTTCCTTTCTGAAATCAATAAAAATATATTTAAAAAAAGAAAGTCTTCTTGACTATATCAGCAAATATCAATTATAGACCTGAATGTTATTATATTCACTAAAATTATTCTTAGCAGCAAAAATACATACTCATTTGCATTCAAAAATTATCTTCTGAAAAGCAAAGGGGTGAAGAGTGTAGGAGTTGTACATATGCTTGAGAAATATGGAGCTTTATATACATTCATGAATGAACTCGTTTTGATGCTCAAATTGTTTTTGACTTGACCAGACATCCCTTAGCTTTTAAAATTTGAATATTTTCCAAAATGCTGCTAAGAACAATTTCAGTGAATATAATAAAAACATATCAGGACTATAAATGATATTTGTTGATATATTCAAGAAGACTATTTAATATATATATATTGATTTCAGAGAGGAAGGAAGAGGGATAGAGACAGAAACATCAATGATGAGAGAAAAAAAACCACTGACCGGCTGCCTCCTGCATGCCCCCAGGGATCAAGCTTGCAACCAGGCATGTGCCCTTGACCAAAATCGAACCCAGGATCCTTCAATTCTCTGGCTGACTCTATCCACTGAGCCAAGCCGCTAGGGCATGAAGACTATTTCTTAAAACCAAGTTTATGTCAAATAGGTAAATGTAATGAGCTTTTAAAAATTTGTTATTTAAATAACTGATCCTCTAGACCGCCGAGTCGGGTTCCCCGGGAGAAAGGTGGCAACAGTGTGTGAGGTTCACATCCTTAGAGACTCCGGAGACTGGCGTTGGTGGGCGGTCCAGCCTGGCGCACGCCCACAAGCACGCCGGCCGGGTCCGCAGCCCAGCGCAGCTTCCGATTGGATAGAACGGTGCGTGCCGGGAGCGGCCGGGCCTTCGCAGTGCTTTCTGGGAGTTGTGGTTTTGGGAGCAGGAAGTGGGGGTGTCAGGGATAGAAACCGCAGCTGAGGCAGCATTCACTGCAGCTGCGGTCATCATCCGGGTGTAGTGCATCCCTGCGAGCCTGTCCGCCCTGGGTCCCTTCTCTGTTCCCGGCGGGGCTCCGGGAGCCCCGAGGGGCGAAGCGGCAGGGACGCCTCTCTTCGGAAAGGAGGCGATGTCGCAGCCTCGGATGGGGCCGGAGCGTGCGGGAGTGGAGCTTGGCGACTGCGAGGAGCGCCGGCCGCCGGAGGAGAGCAGGTGGCTGGGGAAGGGCCGGGGAGTCAGTCGGGGGGCGAATCCATGAGCTTCACCACCGGGAGGCTTGGGAGGGCTCGGCGTGGGGAGACGTGGCCGGGTGCGATAGACAGGAGGGTGACTGCCGTGGGCGGCTTGTTTGGGAAGACATTCTGAGAGCAGGGACGGGCAGGGCGTGGGTAGGACGGAGGAGTGACCCGGCTTTCTGAGGGCGAGGGAGGGGGGATAGGAGGTGTGGAGGGCAGGGGGAGAAGTGGTGGCTGCAGGAGAGGTGGATCTGAGGGGCTCCGTAGCAAGGTTTTATGGTCCGGAGCGAAGGGATGGGGAGAGGACGCAAGGTTGGTGGCCTGCCTGAAACGCGATGACAGCAACCAAGTTGGGGCCCATGTTGCGAAGGTTGACGTTGTGAGCATGTCTGGGAGCAAAGGTTAGGCACTTGTAAGTGTCCTGGAAAGAAGCTTAGGCAGATCGATGAGTGTGAGGAGGAAGGCGAGCCTGTGGATGAAAGCCGGCCGATGTAACGGCACCCCGTGTTGGGTGGGGGCTTGCTAAGGAGATTTGGAAATGGTGTGCCTGCCCTCTGTCAGTGCTGGATCCCTGTCATTTCCTTCTCATTTCCAAACCCTTCACTTCTTCCTCGCAGCTGCAACTAAGCAATTTCACATTTATTTATGTGGAACGATTGTCATTAAGTTCATAGTTTCTAGAAATTAAGGAGTTTAAGATTTTTTAAACGATTTTATTTATGATTGTTTTTAATCCTCGCCTGAGGACATATTTATTAAATATATTTTTATTTATTTTTTACAGAAAGGAAGGGAGAGGGATAGAGAGTTAGAAACATCAATGAGAGAGAATCATCGATCAGCTGCCTCTTGCACACCCCCTACTGGGGATGTGCCCGCAACCAAGGTACATGCCCCCGACCGGAATCAAACCTGGGACCCTTGAGTCTGCAAGCCGACGCTCTATCCACTGAGCCAAACCAGTTTCAGCCTGAGGACATATTTATTGATTTTTAGAGAGAGGAAGGGAGAAAGAGAAACACACACATGTGCGTGCATACACACACATCAATGTGAGAGAGAAACATAGATTGGTTGCCTTTCCTATGCGTCTCAACCAGGGACCAAACCTGCAACTTGGGTATGTGCCTGACCAGGGAATCAAACCCTTAACCTTTCAGTGCATGACAACGTTCCGACCAACTGAGCCACACTGGCCAGAGCAAAAACTACTTTAAATGGTGACTTATGTAGAGGTGCATCCCATATTTAGGGTTTGCTTCGTTAATAACTCTGATCTTAACCTTTTAACAATTAGCAATGGTGGCAGGATAGAACAAGACTGTGGCTTAAGGGAGTCCTGTTTGACTTTTAAAAATAATCAGATACAGTTATGGTGTCGGGCAGTTGGGGTCTAAAGACTGGAGGTAGAATAGTTACCTCTGAGAAAATGTCAGTAAGAGAAAATTAATGAGATACGTCTGGGTGAAGACCTGGTTGTTTAAGTGCAATTAGCCTGTCATCTGCTGTACAAAACCTGGACGGTCAGGACGCTGGGTTTCTTGCCTGAGATCTATGAATGATGTGTTAGTGAAACCGACCATCTTACTTCCCTTTTCCATGTTTCAGTTTCTGCTTGTATATATTTGGCTATCTATTCTTCCTCCAGATGTCTGTGAAATGCTTCATGTAAGAGACCACATATAAATTCTAAGTAAGTCTTAAGGTTATTTTTATTTTCTTCTTCCAGTTTATGTGCTAGGAGAAAATAAAATTCAAGTTCAAGTTTTCTCCCCATAGCTGGGTTAGTTATTTACTTAATCTACTTAAGAAACACTTATTTACCACATGCCAGGACTGCATAGGAGTCTTACAGGTAAACTTATTTAATCCTCACAACAAGTGGATAAGATACTCTATTATCACTATTTAACAGATAAGAAAACTGAGACTTAGGATAAATAACTTGCCAAGGTCATATAGTAAATCCTTGATGGAACTGGAATTAAAACCCAGGCAATTTGGCTCCAGAGCCTGCACTTTTGATTCCTAAGCTATGCTGCCTCTCACTTTGCTAATGTATAGTGAGAAAGAAATGTTTAAGATAGTGAACTTTATAGCATTCTCTGCCTGACATTCAGCCAATAGGATAGCTCCTTTGCAGGTATGTTTTCCTTTTACTCTTTCCATGCTTGCCTATTTATCTTTCAATTACAGGTGACAGTCAATATTATTTTAGTTTCAGGTGTACAGCATAATGGTCAGACGAGGTGATCCCTCTAATAATTCTAATACCCACCAGACATCATACATAGTTATTACAGTGTTATTGACTATGTTCCCTATGCTGTACTTAAATCCCCATGACATTCTGAAACTACCAATTTGTATTTCTTAATCCCTTCATCTTTCACCCAGTCTCCCCAACCCCTCCCATCCTGCAGCCCTCAGTTTGTTCTCTATGTCTGTGAGTCTTTGTTGTGCTTGTTCATCCATGCTTGACTCTCAACCAAGGCACTCTAGTCAAGAATTAATTTCAGCAGTGGGATTATTCCCATAATGCCACTTATATTGTTGCTATAGCCTATTCTCTGTTGGTGGCTGTTTACTCAGAATGTGTTTTTAGTGAAGCTTCGTGGCATTGATGGCCTCCTTAGCTCTAAGAGACAACTGATAAATGCATGCCTTGATCCTGAGAACTGAGGCATTGTGGCTGAGTTAGTGCAAACCAAACCAGTCTATGGCCAATAAAACACCTAATTCATAAAAAATCTTTATGAGATGGCATTATTTTTATTTATTTTTTAAAATATATTTTATTGATTTTATACAGAGAGGAAGGGAGAGAGATAGAGAGTCAGAAACATCGATGAGAGAGAGTCATCGATCAGCTGCCTCTTGCACACCCCCTACTGGGGATATGCCCGCAACCAGGGCACATGCCCCTGACCGGAATCAAACCCGGGACCCTTCAGTCCGCAGGCTGACGCTCTATCCACTGAGCCAAACCGGTCCCGGTGCATTATTTTTTTAAAAAAATACAACTTTTCAATATATTTTCTGAAAGCAGCTGTTTTAGTAAAATGTGCATAAGCTTATGGACAGATAGCATCCCTTTATTGCCTCCATTTGAATCCTTGTTCTACTGCTTAACTTGGTTCATCCTGTCTGAGTAGGAAGAACGATGCCTTTTTGACTGGAAAGGTGTGAGAATTCTATAAGATAATTGCATAAAGTTCCTCACAGAGTGGCTGGTATATACTAAGTGCAAAAAAAAAAAAAAAAAAATTAACTACTTCTGCCCTAGCCAGTTTGGCTGAGTGGATAGAGCATCGGGCTTGGGAACTGAAAGGTCCCAGGTTCGATTCCGGTCAAGGGCACATGCCCAGGTTGTGGGCTCCATCCCCAGTGGGGAGACGTGCAGGAGGCAGCCAATCCATGATTCTCTCTCATTGTGGATGTTTCTATCTCTCCTTCTTCCTTCCTTTCTGAAATCAATAAAAATAAATAATAAAAAAAGAACTAATACTATAAAAAAAACGACTACTTCTGTCCCCTCCCCAGTTTTCTTGAAGCAAGGTGTGTGTGTGCGTATGTGTGCATTGGGCATTCTCTTGGTGCAATGGTTTAGCCTGCTCTTCCTCCTTCCCTGGCTCCTCTGTCTCACTTGGGCAGACTGAGGACTGGGGTGTGGGCCTAGCTTTTAACTTCATCCCTGGAGTGCAGTTATGCCCGCTGTTGTTTTCCCCTTAGCTAGTTATCACTCCAGCAGAAGGCTGTAGTGCTTAGAGATGATGTTTCATTTTCCCTAGGGTTTCCTAAGTGCCAGTTTTGGGGTGTTTTGTTTTTTGGAGATTTTCCGGTGAAAGTACTAAACAGTGAAAGGAATGGTTCTTCTAAGCATTGTTTTGTTACGCCAGACTGCCATGGCCTAAACAGTCTATTTCTGAGTTTGGAACCCAGCTACCTGTGCAGTTTTCCTGGTGCGGTGAACTAGATAGAGTCTGCAAACTGAACTCATTCAATTGCCCAGAACCTTTTCCTCTTCTGTTCTCTGTCTTAGTTAATAGAATTTTCCACGCAGTCAACCAAGCCAGAAGCCTCAGAGTGAAATTTGATTCTTCCCTCTTCATTTTCCATATTCAAGCAGTCACCAAGTCCTCTAAATTCTCTTCCCGATTTTTATCTTGAAGCTTTTTTTTTCTTCTCTGTTTTCAAATATATTGGCTTATATTAGTGGGGGAAAAAACAGAGAGTAGTAATGCTTCAGAAATGGCCAAATGTAGGTGTGTGCTTAAACAAAAATTTGTCCCTCTCTATGTGGCCTTTATTCTGGTATGTTGGCTTCCTTCTCAGGCAGACTTTTCTACAGGACAACCCTTAGCAAATTGAACTTTAGCAATCCCAACTAAAATAAATAGATGAAGAATGTAGTCTCAGGAGGTATAGCAAAAGCAAAAATTCTGGACTGACTCTTTTTAGATAGACATGACTATGTTCCCGTTTCAGGATATGGGACATGCAGTTGAGTCAGGACTAAACTATGTGCCCAACCCTGGGTGCAGGGCAGAGTGATACTTCCTTAGAACCCATGGATCAGGCTAAGTGGCAGAGGTGTGATTTCCCTGTGGAAAATCAGGGACCTGTTACCAAAAGAAAGGGGCATGCATTCTGGGCAGATATAAATAAAATATTCACTGAAGACCCTTATTATCTGTCATTATGGATTATCTCAACCGCCTTTTAACCTAATCTCCCAATCTGAACTCACTCCCCCAATTCCAGATAGCTTCCACACTGCTACCAACTTAATTTTTTTCTTATTCTCCCATTTTTTAAAATTAGATTATTATCTGTGTACATATCTTACCATTGCCCCCCTCCATACATGCCCTCCAACTTAATTTTTCAGAAGCAAAGTTACAAAAATAATATGCTCAGAAATGTTCAGTGGTTTCTTATTAAAAATAAAAAACAGTCAAAACTCTTTCCCTAATA